ACTATCTAAATAAGATAATTTAAAGTGATTTTAAATATTCACTATTTCTTACTATATCATTTATATATCAGTGTATTTTTAATCTATATATAATCGTCAGAGGAGCACCACTTAAAATTCTGTTAATTAAAACACATCAATATCAATATTTTTTTTCAATTTATATACATTTGTTTTAGCGTTTCCCCGCTAGTAACATAAAGGGTGAACTTTATTATAGACAATCATGTTCATACATTCAGTCTATGTAGTTCATAATTCATACATGTATTTCATTCAGTTCAATATATTTTGTATACATTATAATGACTAAAAAAAAATAATAATAATATTTTACAATTAGAAGCATCGTTTGGAGGTTAAACATCGTTAGGGGAAAATTAAACGAGCACTTAGACTCTCGTTTTCATTGAAACCAAACGAGAGAGTGAGACAGAAAGTGAACAAATCGAAACAGAGAGAGAAGGAAAGAGAGGAAGAAGCACCACACGGCTTACATACCGTGGAAAGCAAGTCGACTGCTTTTGCATCTCGTGGAAGAAGGAATCGAGAAATCATAGTGTGAGGGAGAACCTACTAAGAGAGATTCAGATGCGGGTGCTTGCATGAGAAGTTGACGTCACTATAAATCTCCAATCAACCCTTGGTTAGAGTTTTCAAACTGAATTGTCAGCTAAGTCTTGGATTGCATCTCAACAAGCTTCCTTAGCATCTCTTTCAAGTTCTCGAATCCGCCCTCAAATCGATTTTCTTTAGATAAAAACCTTCCTTCTATGGAGGAGAACATTTTCTCTATCCTATATTTTATTGACTCATCTTTTCCTTCAATTTCTTCTTCAAAGCATCTACTTTCTTTTCTGCCATCTATTCCAAAAAAATTTTGATCTCATAGGCAAAAAATTTGTATACCTTGAAATTCCGTTATCACTTCTTAGCCATCTCTTATCACAATTGTACGACAAATCAGTGTCCCCCAATCACGTCAATCCCATCATCGCCTCTTAGGTAGCACCTACCGTGACTATACGCGAGATTCAATTACACCAAGATGGATACTGTAGTCGTGATCCTATCTTAGGCTTCCCGGCTAGTTGAATACTAGCTATGTGAATCGCGAATATAACGCTTAATCAGGGCACTGTACCCTGCAATCTGTCATATACTACCTAGTTGGCTCTTTCCATGAATGTATCGCATTGATCGATCGGATCTCTAATGATGGGAGCTTCAGGTCTCTATTTGCCATGTTCCCCTTGACTTAGAAGATCGGAGCTTCGAGTCTCTGTTCGTCGTGATCCCCCATGCCCTTCTCAGGATATGCGTCACGCGCGATCTCTCATTGTGCGTGACCGTAAGATTAAATCGTATTTTATCGACGGGGTTCGGTCATTGTAGTCATTCGGTATGATGTGATCCTATTAGAGCCTTCCCAACTAGCTATGATCGCAATTGTACGCAACGGAGCGGGAGAGGCGAAATGATGGAGTTTTGGGTCTTTGTTCGTTATGATTTTTCTCAGTTAACTCAAATCGTGACTCTCTCGCGAGTTGAAGTCTGGCGAGTTGAAGTCATGGGGTATGTCGCGATCCTTCTTCACCATGTTCAAATCACGTCTGTATCTCCTCCTGCACATTGTGATCCGGTTGTTGCTTCCTAGTTTGCGACTGCTTTGGCACTGAAAGTCGCAATCCAGTTGGGATGATGAAGGCTCTGGACGCAGCCCTGTGCATTGGTGCGCAACGATCTTGTTGGCTTCGATTACCTAAATTTCTGCTTCGATACTAATTTGATACGACTTGACATCAAAATCAACATTCTTTTCCACATAAATTAAAGCAAAATAATATTTTCTTCAATAATTCAAACAACTCAACAAGAACAAAAAAGACAATCACCTACAATTTGAGAGGTAGGCGATCTCTCCAAATTCTTACAATTCGAGAGGTAGGAAAGCTCTCATAAACCATAAACCTAAGACTCGCAACCCAATTTCATGCATAAAACTAACTCTAAACATAATAAGCTTATTTATACTCAACAATAATAATATTAATAAAAGACTAAATTGCCCTTAGGCATATAAAAGACAAAATTACGCTTAGACTAGGTGTCGGCATAACACATTCTCTTTTTTTATTCTTAGCCTTATTGCAGATGAAAATCTCATTTAACTATCTTGATGAGAAAATTTTTCTAATATTTTATCTTTTCTTGCACATTATTATTCTACCACCAACTATTTTTATTTATAAAATCTTTTGTTTTTGATCCTTCAGGTAAATTTTTTGTCACTTGTTTAATATTGTTTGCTACTTTTTCCCACATAGAAGTTGTTTCTTCATGAATATTTCAAATCTTAAAATCTTAAAGTTTGTTAAAAATTACATTTCTTTGCCTTTTAAGTTTCCTCATCTAATTTTATGATAATATTTTATTGTATTTTTTATCTTCTAATTCTCTATCTTAAAATCTAAAACTATTAATGTGTGAGAAAAATAGTTGGTAGTGAAATAATAATGTGAATATATATATGTATATATATACATATATATATATAGTTATAAAAATTACTTTAAATGTAAAAACTTAGATTATTGGGAAAAATATAAGGTGGCATGTAAAGAGTCAATAGAGCTATTTCTGATGCTAAAAATTTTATTTTATTAATCATTATAATATATTAGATACTAAAAAGGGTAAAAGATATACGTATAAACTATTCAAACAAAGAGAAAATAAAAGTAAATATTTAATTAGAGTAAAGTGTATTAAAGATGAAAATCAAATATTATTTTTCATAGATAAAGATATTCAACATATGTAGGTGAGATAGTTTGATAAACTTTTTAATTAAATATTTGAAAATACGATTGACTTTAGTTATCTTAATATTGTTAATAACAATATTTTTTTTTATTATTTCTGTCGTATCAATAAAAAAGAAGTTAATGAGGCTTTAAAGAAAAATAGAAGTGAAAAATCAATAGGACCTTATGGTATCCCAATAAAAGTGTGGAAATATTTAAGAGATTTGAGACTTTCTTAACTTACTAAACTTTTTAATATTATTTTAAAAACTAAAAAAATGTATGAGGATTGAAGTAAGAGTATTTTGGTCTTCATTTTTAAGGATAAAGGGGATCCACAAGAGTGTGCAAATTATAGAGGAATTAATTAATGTGTAATACATTAAAATTATGGGAGAGAGTAATTGAACATAGGTTAAGACGTGATACAAAAATTTCTCATAATCAGTTTAGATTTATGTTGGACAAGTCTTCTATGGAACTTATTCATTTATTGAGAGGTTTAATGGAGAAGTACATAAATATTAAGGAGGATCTACATATGATTTTTATTGATTTAGAAAGAGCTTATGATACGGTTCCAAGAGTTCTTTGAAGATTTCTTGGAAAGAAAGGTGTTTATATAACTTATATTCTAAGTCATTAAAGATATATATACTAAAGATGTTACTTGTGTTTGAACATAACGAGGATTGACCTCGTATTTTCTTATTTTTAGTTGGATTACATCAGAGGGATCAACTTTAAGCCCATATCTGTTTGCTTTAGTTATGGATGCTCTTAGCAGACATTTATAGGAGGATGTTCCTTGGTGTATGTTTTTTGTTGGTGATATCCTTCTTGTGGATAAGTCTAGAGATAGAATTTAGGAAAAACTTGAATTGTGGCTGCCTACTTTAGAGCTAAAGACCTTTATTTGAGTAGTTCTAATAGTGAATACTTAATATGTAATTTTAATAGTAGTAGATCTTGTGGCAGAGTTGTAACAATGAGTGATTAAATATCTCTGGTCCTGTTCAAAATGATGGTGATATAGATGGGATGTAGAAATCATGTCGGGGGGTTGAAGTGGAGAAATGCATTGGGTCTATTGTGTGATAGAAAAGTATCACTTAGACTTGAAGGAAAATTTTATAAGATGGCAGCGAGACCTGCAATGCTTTATGGCACAGAGTGTTGCGCTATAAAAGTGAAGCATAAAACTAAGTGTTGCTGAGATGAGAATGCTTAGGTCGATGAGTGGCTTTATACTTAGAGACAAAATGGCAAACGAATATATCCGTGAAAAGGTTGGTGTAGCTCCAATGGAAAACAAAATTAGACGGGATCCTTTTAGATGGTTTGGTCACATTAAATGTTGACTATCTGATGATTATATTAGGAGTATATTAGGAGAGTAGATGTTTTAGGTTAAGAAAGGTTGTTAGACCTAAAAAGATCGGGGCATGTTTTATAAAAAATGATCTTAATTTATTTGAATTAAGTGAAAATATGATGCTCGATAGGACAATGGAGAAAAAAGAATTCATGTAGCCGACTCCACTTAAGTGGGATAAAGGCTTGTTGCTATTTTTTTTTTTTGTTGCTGCAGTTTATTTCATAAAAATTTTTCTTGTACCAAACGTAAACACAACATCAGTTCCTTTATTGGTAGACTTCTGAAGACACCTCTATTCTTTTCCAAAAAAAAACCAAAATCTATCGGACTTTTTTGTTGTTAGTCTCACGTTTGGGGCAAACAACCTAAACTTTACACTTCACTTATATTTAACATTAAAATAACTTTTTTAGTAGAATATTTACTTTTACATAAAAATTAATATTGTTTTAGTTAATAATTTGACAATATTAAACAGGCCACAGGCAACTATTTATACATTCTGTCATGATCACATCCTATTTCTTGACCAGAATAATTATCTTAAAAGAATTCTTACCCAAAGAAAAAAAAGAGGAAGAAAAAGAAGGTCCAAGGGCAGCCATTCATAAAGTTCACCACTTTTCTCACTTCCCTTCTACATGGATTGGTTAAAGAGGCATATGTTTTTTTCTCGTACATTGTACTGGAGAACATGCTACTTGCTATATTTTGCATAAGCCAGATTGGAATTCAGCATTTATTAATTATATTTTGCATTCAGTAATTTTCTGAATAATAGGTCATTGCGTATTTGTCCTTTAATGTCATTGCAGGTGTCTTACACTTCTGAAAATGTTATTGTGGGTAGGAAAGCGGCAAAAGAGGCATTACAGCAAAGACTTGGCTTGAAGAACTCTAATCATCCATTGGTAGGAATAATCACTCGTTTAACTGTCCAGAAAGGAATTCACCTCATCAAACATGCTATTTGGCGAACACTGGAAAGCAATGGGCAGGTTTTTATTTGATTTTTTTTTTTTTTTGGTAATGTTAACTATTTTCTTAACATGGTCATGATTTCCCATAAAGCATTATGCATTTACATGTCTAACACCTAAACTTTAGTTTTTCCATATATACCACCTTACCTAGATATGAAAATGTGCATTTCACTTTTCAAGTTAAAATAGTTGTACTTTTGATGTGATATGAAAGATTTGGCTGCTATAAAAGATAAAAAGTAAAGTTTAGTTGTTAGATACGTAATATGTAGGAATTGGGTGGTATGTATGCAGATGCCCCTTTTAATAATCTCCCAAACTTTGTTGCCTAGATTGTTTTGCTGGGATCCGCTCCAGACCCTCGCATACAACAAGATTTTGTTAACCTGGCGAACCAATTGCATTCTTCACACTCTGGTAATGTGCGGCTTTGCTTGACATATGATGAACCGCTTTCGCACTTGGTGAGGTTTCGCTTGCTGACTTGAACATTTTTTTTCTTTCTTATTAAACATTTTAGCGTCTTGTTTCTGCTATGATCTTGTGTTTTTTAGATCTATGCAGCTGCAGACTTTATTCTTGTCCCATCGATATTTGAACCTTGCGGCTTAACTCAACTTATTGCAATGAGATATGGTTCTATTCCAGTTGTTCGAAAGACAGGAGGTGAGCGCCATGAATTTTTGGGAAATTTATATACCTAGCACACAATGCTTCTGTATTTACCTTTCTCATACCTAGATTTTCATATTTACGTACATAGTAGTTTGGTCACGTTTAAAAAGTGCAATAGTGCTTATTTTCAATGTGAGTAAAAATGAAAGTTTAGGTGTGAGATGTAAATACATAAGAGTTGTGTGCTATGAATGTAAATGCTCCTACTTTTTATTTTGGTCGCATAACTTTTCCTAGAGATCCTCTAGAAACTTTCAAGCACTTGCAGAAATGCGTATGATTTGACACGTGCAGAGAACAAACAATGAGGATGAATGATCTAGCCCTATATGTTCATTTTTCTGCTTTGCTGAATTTTTACTTGGGCACTTTTAGGTAACCTCCTTGGGGTTCCACTGAAATATGGATGATTGCATGCATGAAAAAATATTATGTTTTGAAATATGCCAACTCAGTTTTGAATGTTTCGTGCAGAACATCTAAATCTTTGAAATTATCACTTTAAGTGTAGCTTTCACCATGCAATTCTTAATGTAATGTAATCTTTCCCTTCCCTTATTTTTGGTATAAGTTTTGACGTATAATAAGCCCAGGGAGTTGAATATATTTGAACTTTGTTGTGATGCCATTTATATGTGGAGAGTGACTCAGGTGTGAGAAGGGGCAATAAAGACCCCACCCACGCCTAGACCGACTGGTCCAAGCAAGTGGAGAGCCGATTGGCTCCTTATAGGTTCAGCACCTTGGTGTGAATAACGACGGCAATAAAGCTAAAAACTGGATCGAGAAAATTCGCAAAACAGAAAACACTGCGGAAACACATATTTACGTGGTTCGGCAAATTGCCTACGTCCACGGAGCTGTAGAGGATTTTATTAGCTTCAGGAATTACACCCGTCCATCACCTCGAAGATTACAAAAAAAAATTCTCTCCCTCTCTCACTCTCTCTCCTCACCTCTCTCTATCGCTCTACTCGAGAGCAACCACACAGCCGAAGGGAACAACAGCCTTGCAAATCTCCTTCTCATATGACTTCCTGATTTACCGTAAGCCACACATCAAGGAAGGAATAAACACCAAAAGCTAATCATTGCAATTTTTCTTCCTGTAGCCGTAAAGAGGTTTAATGGAGGGTTGTTTTAGCTTTTGTGTTAATCCATTATTTAAAGAAGCTTAAATGCCCATTTAAGAAAGCCTCAATTCACAAAATTATAGGTGAGAAAAATGAGAACCTAGCTTTGGCGGGATCCACTTATGGAGAGGAATCCAGGCAATGCTTCACAAAGGGAATCAAATTAATTAGCGATTAATTTCCGATTATCTGCCATAGAGGAATTTCTATAGCAATAGGTGGATCGGGCTCTACCTACTCAACAAATCTCCCACTTGGAGACTGGGACATTGGCTGCATCATCCACTGGTTGCGTCGTCCTTTTCCTCAAATGTGATATTCTTCATCTCTGCAACTCAAAGCCTCAGTCTTCATGCCAGAAAGCCAGCTGAAGTCGAGCACAACTTCTTCTTATTAAGAGTAACAACCTTAGTCGACATATCAACGTTAACATAACATTGTACCTCTAAGCTCTTTCCTAGGTTACTTATGTATCTTCTTACAACTCCTACTGCATGGGGAATATCTTGACTCTGTTGAAAGCCTTTTTCAACAAGTCTAGTCATGTACCTCTTACAGTCATCAAACGCAGTCTTCACCGGGTATACCCACTTGTTGTGCGATATATTCTTCCCTGATGGAAGTTCAGTCAGCTCTCAAGTTTGATTCCCTGACAGGGAATACACCTCCTTCATGGTCAGCTCTCACTTACTCAAATTCTCATCTTGCAGGATTTTTTTTAGCTCTGCCTCAAGTGACCAAGCCTGCAATGCCGCAGATCTGTCGTGCTCTCTGCAACTGTAGTAGCAACAGTATTGAGTAAACTTGTAGTCATATATAGTGTGTCAGTTTTTTTATCCCGAGTCAGTACTAATGCTCCTTTGATAATCTTCCAGGTGCTATCTGAGAACACTACTGAATGACCACTCTCATTGAGTTGTCCAACAGAAATGATGTTTTTCTTCAACTTAGGAATGTGTCTGACCTTTTACAAAGTTCATTTGCTCTTGCTAGGGAGTGCAATATCAACGTCTCTCATACCTACCACGTTCAGAGCTTTTCAATCAGTCAGATGTATCTTCCCAAAGTCACTTCGCATCAACTCTCTGTGGGAAGATGTATAGAATGAAGCTCCTGAATCCAGTATCTAGTCATCAGCAGAACTGTGAACTGTCAGCAATATCACATCCTGTATTTCTTCAGTTACAACATTAGCGTCATCATTCTCCTTCTTCTTAGGATTCCTGCATTTCCTTTTTATTTGGTCAGCCTTGTCACAATTCCAACAGGTTTCCTGCTAACCAGACTTTAATTTTGATCTTCCTCTATTTGAGTTTTTGTTCTGTGATCTTCTTATGGAATCAACATTCAGTGTCAAACTTGAACCGAGGTCTTGCCAGATTCTTTCCTCCTCCTCAGTCAAAATCAAATCACTAATATCATCATATTTCAGTTTAGCTTTATCTGCAGAACTGTTTACTGTCATCCTCATGGTTTCTCAGTTATTTGACAATGAAGCCAACAATATCAGTGTGCGTATCTCATCATCAAAATTGATTTCAACAGACGACAATTGATTTGTGATAGTATTGAAATCATTCAGGTATAGAACAACAGACATACCGTCCGTCACCTTTAAGTTGAATAACTTTTTCATCAAATGCACTTTGTTATTCGTCGATGGCTTTTCATACAAACCTGATAAAACCGCCATGAGATATGAAGTAGTCCTCTTTTTGATGACGTTGTGGGCAACTGATCTTGACAGGGTTAATCGAATAACCCTCAGAACTTGTCTATCCAACAAATTTCATTCCGCCTCGTCCATCTTTTTCGGCTTCTTTCCCAGTAACGACAGATGAAGTTTCTTCTCATAGAGGTGGTTATTTACCTGCATTCTCCAGTAACCAAAATTTGTGTCATTGAACTTCTCGATTCCTGATGTCATTAGTTCGTCTCTGCCCATCGTTCTTTCTTAGATCCAAAACCACGACTTTGATACCAGTTGTTGTGAAAAACGACGACAATAAAGCGAAAAATCGGATCGAGAAAATTCACAAAACAGAAAATATTGTGGAAACACACATTTATGTGGTTCGGCAAATTGTCTACGTCTACGGAGCTGCAGATGATTTTATTAGCTTTAGGATTTACACCCGTCGATTACTTCGACGATTGCGAGAAAGAATTCTCTCCCTCTCTCTCTCTCACTTTCTCTCTCTCTCACTTTTTCTCTCTATCGCTCTACCCTAGAGCAACCACACAGCCGAAGGGAGGAACAGCCTTACAAATCTCCTTCTCATATGACTTCCTGATTTCTCGTAAGCCGCACATCAAGGAAGGAACAAACACCAAAAGCTAATCATTGCAATTTTTTTTCCTGTAGTCACTGAGAGGTTTAATGGAGAGGGTTGTTTTTAGCTTTTGTGTTAATCCATTATTTAAAGAAGCCTCAATTCACGGAATTATAGGAGAGAAAAACGAGAACCTAGCTTTGGCGGGATCCACTTATGGAAAGGAATCCAGGAAATGCTTCACAAAGGGAATCAAATTAATTAGCAATTAATTTTCGATTATCTGCCATAAAGAGGAATTGCCAGAGCAGGAGGTGGACCGTGTTCCACCTACTCAACAAATCTCCCACTTGGAGACTGGGATACGATTGCACCATCCACTGGTTGTGTCGTCCTTTTCCTCAAACGTGATATACTCCACCTCTACAACTCAAAACCAGTTTTCATGCCAGAAGACCAGTTGAAGTCGAGCACAACTTTAGCTTCTTAAGACTAACACCCTTAATCGACATATCAACGTTAACATAACTTTGTACATTCACGCTCTTTCTTGGTTTACTCATGTATCTGCTTACAACTGTCATGCATGGGGAATATCTTGCCTCTGCTGAAAATTTTTTTCAACAAGTCTAGTTTTGTACCTCTTACTGTCATCAAACACAGTCTTCACCTGGTACTCTCACTTGTTGTGCAATGTTTTTTTTCCTGGTGAAAGTTCTATCAGCTTCCGAGTCCGATTCTTGGCAGGGAATTCACCTCCTTCATGGTCAGCTCTCATTTGCTCGAATTCTCATCTTACAAGATTTCTTTATAGCTCTGCCTCAAGTGACCAATCTTGCAATGTCGCAGATCTGTCGTGTTCTCTACAACTGTAGTAGCAATAGTGTTGAGTAAATCTATAGTCATATACAGTGTATCAGTTTTCTTACCCCAAACCAGTTTTAATGCTCTTTTGGTAACCTTCAAGGTGTTATCGGGGAACACTACTGAATGACCACCCTCATTGAGCTGTCTAACAAAAATAAGGTTTTTTTTCAACTTAGAAATGTATCTGATCTTTTGCAAAGTCCATTTGCCCTTGTTAGGGAGTGCAATATCAACGTCTCTCATCCCCACCACGTTCAGAGTTTTTCCATTAGCCAGATGTACTTCCCAAAGTCACCTGCAACATAGTTTCGCTTCAACTCTCTATGGGAAGATGTATGGAAGGAAGTCCCTGAATCCAATATCCAGTATTCAGTAATCAACAAAACTGTGAACTGTCAGCAATAGCAGATCATCTATTTTTTCAGTTACAACATTAGTGTCATCATTTTTCTTCTTCTTAGGATTCCTGCAGTTCATTTTTATGTGACCAGTCTTGCCACAATTCCAGTAGGTTTCCTGCTGACCAGAATCAAACTTTGATTTTAATTTTTCTCTGTTTGAGTTTTTGTCATGTGATCTCCCTTTGGAATCAACATTCAGTGTCGAACTTGAACCCAATGTTTTTCCAGAATCTTTCCTGCACACCTCCTCAGCCAAAATCAAATCACAAATATCATCATATTTCAATTTGATTTTACCTGCAGAACTGCTAACTGTC